TAAAAACAATGTTCGTTCTGTCCAAGTTTAAGTAAAACATGGAAATTGTTGTGGTAGAAATGTGCTCTGGGCAAAGTGACAATCACCTAACCGTAAGCCTCTTTTCATAAAACAGTAAATGCTGTTAAGTGTCACAATTGTGCAGAATGCTGTCGGTGTTCCGTTTGTCCACTAGACGGAGCTCTGACTCCATTCAGTCGTCAGGCCTCACTGTGTCTCCTCAGTAGTGCAAGAGCAAGCTGCAGCCAGAGCAGTTCAGAAACGCCGTTTGATGAAAAGGCACAATTTTTGGTATGAGTCATCATCAACGTCTAAAGCAGGGGTCGGCAACCTTAAACACTCAAAGAGCCATTTGGACCCGTTTTCCACGGAAAAGAAAGCACCAGGAGCCACAAAACCCTTTTGACATCTAAAATGAAGACAACACTGCATGTATTGTTTTTACGTCAATGCTATATATGTATATGTGTGTTGCATTTATGAAATCAAGAAACTGCTACAGAGGAAACAAATTTTTATTTCTGCAACAAAAACATTTTGAACTCAAAAAAAAAAAAAAGAGTTGAAGGTTGGTTTCAAATAAAATACTCAGTGTCTATTTGAGTCCTCCTATATATGAAATAAAAAGCCGGTCTTAAATTATCCACCTGCAACAAACTAAAAATGCCATCTGGTTGTCCTGCTGACTGCAGCTGGACTGCTGACCAGACTGCTGATGGACTGTGAGCGCTTTAGGACGGGAGGAGCTCACAGCAGACCGCTGCTTGCTGAGGACAGGAACGACACTACGATGCATGTTTTAATGTCAGAGTCTCCAAAACACCAGAAAAGTCTCGAGTAACACCAGAAAGAGTCGCTAGATTTGTCGGTAGTCGCATTTGACAAAAAAGTCGGCAAGAGGATTTGGAAAGTTGCCAGATTTAGCGAGAACGTCATCAAGTTGGCAACACTGCGTGTGCTGCGGATGTTGCACATCGTGTCGCACATTGTGAGGCATATTTTGAGCGACAAAAAAAAAAATTAAGCACATTTTCTTTTAATGTTACAAGTTCACAGCACTCTTCAAATTTAGAATTACATTTTAAAAACTAACGAGCTAAAATAAAATACATTTAAATTAAAATGCTCATTATTTATTTTCAAAAGGCTACAAGGAGCCACAGCAGAGGGATGAAAGAGCCACATGCGGTTGCCGACCCCTGGTCAAAAGGCTCATGTCACCACATTTGAGGTCAATACGGTCAACCGGCTAAAAATAGCACATGAAAGTGTAAAACATGTTCTTTCCTATTGCCAGCAGGTGGAGCTATGACTGTGAATGGATATTGGCATATGGGTTTCATCAGGACAGGACTGTGATCAAGTTTGTAGTCTGAGGCAGATTGGAGCATGTACAAGGTCGTATGCTTCTTTTGTCATGGTGAATCATCACAATTCAGAGGGCCGCCATTGCCACGCCCCTTAACGAAATGCAGAGCTTTTGATAACTTTTAATCACCAAGCCCTCTTGTATGTGCTGGCCAAATTTGAGGCGTGTAGGAGTTAACCCCTAGGAAGTGTTTGCTCTTGAATATGACAAAAATCTCAAAAAAATTGCAGTTATTTTACAATGGTGGACTTCCTGTTGAGTTTATGGTATGGGTCCAAGAGGCTTTTTTGTGCGTCCTGATGTGTTACATGCCTACCAATTTTTGTAAACGTCAGTTAAACGTCCTGCGAGGGCTAATTAATAAATGAGATTTGGATAAATTGATGCAGGGGGGCGCTATAGAGCCATTTTCGCGTTGAGCCAATAGTGACTCGTATGCCAATTTTGGCGCGTTAATGAACATTCCAAAGCTGTCAAAAATCCTTTCCATGTTGTGAGGAATGGCCACTAGCAGCTGGGAGGACGAGGCTGAAGGCCAAGTATGCTACTATGAAAAGTTTTTATTATTTGCTCTTTTTTTCCCCAATCATCAATAAAAAAAAGTTTTCTCTGGAGCATGTGTTGCTTCAACTGGTAGCAGTTCTCTGACAGCCCTTTTAAAGCATACCACCAGGAAACTTAACCTGCCACCACAAACACAGGGAGGTTACATTCTTCATCGAAATTGAATACTTTGTTTAACATTTTTATAAAGCATTTTTAAATATAGCAAAATATCTTTACAAACATTAACTTCAATAAATAATGAATATATTTACAGTACACCCACAAAACCATAAATAAACGCCTAAAACTCAAACAAAACACCCCCACGCCATTTCATCCTGTGGTCGCTCCCAGAACCTACAACACAGTGCTCGGACCCCCGGGACGCATTTGCCCGAACACCCTGCCGGACCGGAAGCACAAGGACAGGTACGTTACGCAACACACACACATTTAACACTGCACTAAACATTTATGCACTCCGCTACACTCATCCATCGCACCATAAAGAATGCACAAACACACACACACACACACACACACACACACACACACACACACACACACACACCTCCATTATCAAGACCAATCAATTCCACATATGTAATGATAACACTGGTGCTTTGCTTTACAGGTGACCGTCAATCACCCATGAGTGACCGCTTCTGCGTCTGAAAGGCGAACCACGCATTCAATCAATAATTACCATCAATTATGAACTGTGTGTAAATGTCTGCTTGTTTTTATGTGCAAAATGGTTAATAAAGTGCCTGTTTACAGTGCAAAAGTTTCACCAAAGTGCATATGTGCGTTATTAAAGTACTCCGTGTTCTCTAAAACCCCAGTGCTATTGACAAACTGCCCGTAATGAAGTACCTCTTCATTACACGTGTCACAGCAACTATGCGTCGCCATGGCAACATGTTGCTTGAAAATGCAAAACCTTCGCACTGTAGCATCGTGGGAAGACTTAGCTGACCAATTATAAGAATGATATCACAAAGTTTGAAGCAATGGCACATGTAAGTGTAATGCCTCAAACAGCCTGTTACCAATAGATGGCACTATGACTGTGAATGGATTTGGGCATATGGATGTGATCAGGACAGCACTGTGATCAAACATGGAAAGTTTGAGGCAGATTGGAGCATGTACAGGGTAGTTACACAGTACTTCCTCTTTCATGGCGAAGGATCAAACATCAGAGTCACCGTGGCCACGCCCTTTGACCTTTGCAGATGACTTTGATAACATGTTACCTTCAAGGTGTATTCTACGTGCTACCCAAATTTCAGTGCTCTGTGACTTACCCCCTAGGAGGAGTTAGCTCTGGGTGGACAAACAAACAATCCATTATGGCGGACTTCCTGCTGGGTTTAGTGTTGTATGTTTGACTGAAACTTTATTGAAAACGTGTTACAAAGAACAGTGTGGAGCAGAGGAAACAGTGCCATCCATTGGTAAAATTACTGCATTACAACACTCCCACTTAATTTTTCCAATGGTATTTAGAACCATTAAATAATAATACAGAGCCGTGCTCTCCTTCATAAAATGACAAGAAAATACATTTAAACATCAAAAAGCCTTACCTCCCCCTTTTGTTTTGTTGTTTTACTGAAACCTTTTTTCACAAGGTTTGTCAGACTTGCTTTGACCAGATAACGTTCAGTGTTAACCGGTCAAGCACAAACAATCACTCTTACATAGGAAGAAGTCCGATCTCTCCCCTTAGTTTTTCAAACTTCTGTTTGGTCAAAGGCTTTGTCAAGATGTCTACTTTCGTGTCATTTGTTGGTCAGTATTGCAGTTCTATTTGTCCATTCTGCACACATTCATGGATGTAGTGGTAGCGAATGTCTTTGTCAGGGGTATTCAATTAAAAGCCACTGAGGTCCAGTTATTAAAAGTTCCTCCAAGTAAAAGGTCCAAATCGAAATCCAGTTTGTGTCTTATAGCCTTCCAATAAGCAGACAGCCTAAAAGCCACTGCTTCACGGGACTCTGGTGCCAGATGATTGTGATACATCACTTGTGGTACCGTCAGGCCATAGCAGTGTTTCCAAACTTTTGTGTTCCCTGCTAAACATTTTTCGAGTCACGAGCAATGTGGATGTTCTCTCTGTGTTTCTCCAGCGTCCTCTCCGCCGGCTCCAGCGCCCAGCCGTCCGCCCTTCACTCCAGCTTCCCCTTCCACGGCATCACGAGTCTGGTTCTCACCTTTTCATGGACACCAGCACGAGAAAACCTCGACACGGGCACCTTCACGGAAAAACCTCCACACCACCCCCAGCACGGAAAACTCTCCACACAAGCACCGACACAGAAAACCCCCTCCTGCACCGCCACTGCAACCTGCGCACCAACCCCGGATTCCTCACCTCCCTCCTGGTGCTCCTCACTCCCTAGTTTTCCAAAAAATTAACCTGTTCCTCCCATCATTTCCCGTCTCCCTTTCGTTTTGGGTCCAAGACACACACCTGGTGGCCACGGGCCGTCACACAAATAACCCTTGTATCTCTTAAATTAAAGAGGTCCCAGCCTAAAGAACTGAAGACCTCCACTTCAAGTAAAAAAGTCAACATTTTCAGAAAACAATAAATAAAAGGTTTTGTTTGCACGTTGCTGGGCTGTAAATGTGCGTCAGCTCGGACTTCGGGGAATAAATTTGCTGAAAAGAGCTGTGCTTTGTTTTGTAATGGTGCTTCACGTTGCCACTTTCAGTTAATGCCACTATTTCAGAGCATATGAGGCACACTGGTTGTGAACTGCCTGACAGAAGAGTGAACATACATTTCTCCGTCCACTCATCTTCAAAGCAACAGTTTTCCTCATCAACCTTCCCTCTTTTGAAGCAAGCCATGTGTCATCAATGCTGTCATCACTGTCTCTTCCTCTCTACTGTGCTGTATAGGCAGCGCAAAGTGGCAGTGGCAGCGGCAGCGAGCTGTGGAGGTGCGCTGGCCGTGCAGGGTAACCAAACGATTTGATTGGCTCAACTGAGTGGAGCTATTGTCGTATTAACTGGAGTAGCAGCACCCGTTGTCTATAGCCAAAAATGCTCCATGAAAATCTATTCTCGTGACTTTATCAGAGATTGGTCACAGGTCCGGACAGAACCATCACTCGGTCCGGATCCAGACTGAGGTCCGCCATTTGGTGATGCCTGGTCTATGTGTTTAGTTCTGGAGTGATCCACTGGATTCTTCGCGATTGTGATGGCTCCTTGGTTATCTTCCAGGATCACTGTGGGCGTGGCTTCCATTCCGAGATCACATAGTAAACGTGTCAGCCAGATACCTTCTTGAGCAGCTTGACTGAGTGCGACATACTCAGCTTCTGCTGTTGAAAGTGCAACTGTTGCCTGTTTCTTGCTGAGCCAGCTCACCGCTCCTCCACTCAGTACAAACATGTTACCTGTTGTTGAACGGCAGTCATCCTGATCACCAGCCCAGTCAGCATCTGAGAATCCGGTCAAAGCTCCAGAATTTGACCACTCATACTTGAGAGCAAGGTTCACTGTCCCCTTCAAGTATCTAAATATCCTCTTCACAGCAGTCAGATGTGCAGCATCTGGATTTGCGTTAAACTGTGACACAGCACTCACAGCTTGAGCTGTGTCTGGTCTTGTGGCCATTGCAGCATACAGCAGACTTCCAACCACTGACTGATAGTTTTGTTGGTCTACTGACTTGCCAACACCATCACTTTTCTTCAGTTTGACGTTGGCATCAGCAGGAGTTGCTACAGGATTTGTATTATCCATTCCATATTTCTATTGAGAGCCGCTTTGAGCTCGTTCATGCTCTCAGTCGACTCTGTTATGAGAATGAGATCATCCATGTGAACTGCTAACATCTCCAGCTCTTGTCTTGATCTCACAAACACACACGGGTCTGATGTGCTCTTTTTGAATCCAAGCTCCATCGTGAACTCTGTGAAAGCCTTGCTCCAGCACCGAGGAGACTGCTTCAGTCCATAGATTGACCTTTTCAGTTTGCACACCAGGTGTTCCTGCCCTGGTTTGATGTATCCCTCTGGCTGCTCCATGTAGACTTCTTCCTCCAGGTGTCCACATTGAGGAATGCAGTTACGACGTCCATCTGATGCACATGTAGATTGTTTAGAATAGCAAAGGACGGTAATGTACAAACAGAGCTGAATCGTACCGCTGGTGAAAATGTCTCATCACAATCAGCACCACACAGCTGTGAGTAGCCCATGGCGACGAGTCTGCACTTGTATCTCTCCACTCGTTCATCACTATGATGCTTGACTTTGAACACCCATCTTGATCCTACTGTCTTTCTTTCTCTTGGTAAATCCACTAAGTCCCACTTCTCATTTTCCAGCAACTCCTCGTATTCCAAATCAGCCACCTCCTGCCATTCCCTTGCATTTGAACTCATCATCGCTTCTTTCATTGTGAGTGGCTCTGTCACACGATACATGCTGGCATGATGATCAACAATAACTGTATCTGCAGACTCATCATATCCATATCTCCTTGGAGACTTTCTGATTCTGCCAGTGTCATCAGGAGTGACTTCACCTTGTGTTTCACTCTCATCTATTTCCATGGTTATCTCGTCCTTTGAGCAGAGAACTTCTGCTTCCTGATTCCAGTCAAAGTTTGTTTCACTGAAAATGACATCACGATGGATTAGAATCCTCCTTTTCTTTTCATCATAAAGGCAATAGCCCTTGGCATTATTTGCATATCCCACAAAAGGAAGCTTCACAGCGTTCTTGTCCAGTTTCCGTCTCTCTTCATCTGGGATACGTGCATAAGCAGGACATCCAAACACCCTCATGTGACTTATGTCAGGTTTTTTCCCACACCATCTCTCCTCCTTGGCGGAGATAATTAAGCTGAGAGAGGGCAGCTTGTGGGAGGAAGCCCCCCCAAAAAAACCTTGCAAACCCTTAGACTATTATGTCATGCATCTAAGCTGCAGTGCCTTTGTGATCTTTGAGAACAGTCCCTTTGAAATATTTTGGCAGCACTGGATATCCCAAACGGAAGGCGTTTGAAAAAGTACCTTCCAAAAGGTGTGATGAAGGTTTTAAGTCTGGCACTGTCATCATCGAAAGGGATTTGCCAGACTCCGGTGGCAGCATCCAATCGTGAGAATGTACTTGAAGCAGCCAGATTTGGGAGTATATCATCATGAGTGGGTAAGATGTATTTTTTTCTCTCCACAGCTTCATTGAGGTGATTCAGACCAACACATATTCTCAATCTGCCATATATTTTCTTGGTACTGGTACCACTGGTGCATACCATTCTGTTGGTTCTGTTATCTCTTCAATAACCCCACATTTGACCATTTGTTGCAATTCCTCCTTGACTTTAGAGTCTCGGCACGCTGCCATAATGGAGTGTGGTGTTGCTCCCCATTTCACTTTAGTTTTCACTGGGGTTATTTTTAAGTGTCCTGTGTGCTCGCAGGGTGGGCTTGACACCTCCTCCACTCGCTGTATAAGGCCAATGGCCACTGACGCTGATCTGCTGAGTAGGTTGTTTACTTCAGGGCCATCAACAACATGTATGTGGAAACAGTACCTCCTCCCTTTGTAATAAGTGAAGGTTTTGAATTCACCTTTGTTTGTAAGCCTTCCTCCTGGGCAATCCAATACAGCTAATGAATACTCTAGCTTTGGCCCTATTTTAAGAGTGTTTGAGGTGTGCTGAGAAATAACTCTAGTGTCTGCTCCACTGTCTATTTTGAAGCCAACATCACTGCCCTGGATGTGTAGCGTTCTTGGTCATGACTCGTTAGAGTCCTGCACTGTAAGTGATCCTAAGAAAAATGTTTCAGGTTCACCTGCATCTGCATCTCCATCTGAGTCCGTATTAAGCATGTCACTGACTTGTAATGTGCAACATGCTACTGCATAATGGCCTTTCTTACCTGGCTGCGCACACATCGCTCCTGCTGTGCTGCTTGCCACAACTTGAACATTTTCCTCTGGCTTTTTTGCAACAGTGCTGCCTGGAGGAGCTGAACCGGTTCTCTCTTCTCTGTGGTTTAAAGGCGCCACTTTTTGGTGGCCCAGAGTAGCCGCCAGTTCGACCAGATGGGCGACTCCGTGTCACCTCACACAACACTGCGGCTCCGCTCTGCTGCTCGGACACGTGCTCAGATTGCCTGGCGACTCTGCATGCATTTTCCAAGGTTATATCCGACATCATTTGCAATCTCAGTGATAACTCTTCACCCAGAATTCCAATCACAAGCCTGTCTATTATGTTTTCATCTTTAGTGGCTCCAGAATCAGTTCATGTAAATTGTGGACATACTCCTCCACGCTCTCGCCGGCTTTCTGTGCTCTCTGATGAAACCTCGCCATCTTGTGAATCACGTTTACTTTAGGCACGAAGTATTTGTCCAATTTGTCCACTATGATATCGTAGTTATTTTCATCAGTGGCATTTGGTAGACAAAAGTTTTGTCGATGTGCTCAGCTTCGCTCCCGAGTGAGTACAGCAAGGTACAGACCTGTACTTCCTCTTTGTCCAGCTTGGTGGTGATTCTTTACCTGTGGAATCTCTTTTTCCAGTCAGACCACAGCTCTGGATGGGCAAAATCAAACTTGTTCAGGGGGAAGAAATGGACACAACTATAAGACATACAAATCTACAAAACTAAAAAGATACAGAGGATGAACAGACACAAACAACTGCACGGGCGTACAAAAATACCTACAAAGGGGTGAGCGTGTCTTTAGGTCTTCCTATGCAAAAGGTCTGGGGGCTGTCGCATAACTTTTCCATTCAGACTATTTGCACGAACAGTAGCTATTTGTTATTTCATAGTGGAATATTTTAAGTTGTTTATCAAACCAAGGAAGCAGAAAAACAATTAACAAACACTGTATTATTTGTCCAGGACCAGGAGAGTCTTTACTTTCAAACGTAAATAAACATAAGTTGGTTAAAGCTTTAGTTCAGTGATAAATTTAAACAGTTAAGCAAACAGAGACATTGTCTTGAAGCTTCAGGTTTAGAAACCTCCGTAAGGTATCAGTCTGAACAGGGAAAGTGTGTCTCTTCCCACCGATGAGTGGTTCACTGAAGCATCCTGGCGCCCCCTGGTGACCATATTAGAAAGTTACCACATCATTCCAACATAGCTTCCCTGATAAGCCAAGTCACTGCTTCTTAAGTCACAACAGGAGATGACGTAGATATTCCTATAGATTAACCTCAAAACCCAAACACTGACAAAGCTTCTTGATGTGGCGATGGTCTTCATTTATCTTTATTTTTTTCTAATTTAGATTTATTATTGTTGAATTGGTAAAATAAAGATGATCGATTTGTGAAGCTTTAAGGTTATTAGGAAGGAAGTTTCGTACAGTTAAAAAATTAACTTTTTTTTTTTTTTTTTTTTAAATAACCACCTTCGAATGCTTTAAATCAAACTGGTCACAAAATGTTAATGAACTTAATATTCTTTATATAATTTTAATGAATATTTAAGAAATGTATTTACATATAATAGTCTCAATTTCATAGAAAAATAGGAATAAACTAGTTTTATGCATAGAAATTGTTTTTACGCGACTAAAAGGTTACATTCAGGCTATTTAAAGGTTCCAGTGTATTTCTGCCTGGTGTGTTTTCCACACATCTTGCTGTTGTAACTCTGATGCCTTTTCTGCTTCTGTTTAAGAGATTCAGGGACTCACACAAAACTATTACGTCAGTGTAATCGTGCTTTTTATCCCATTTATTGTTTTTAGGACAATCATTTGGTGTATACATGTAATTCTGAACACAAAATGAAAGCTACTGAGGCTACAAAAGAAAAATGCTGCCGCAGGAATCAAATCATTCCAACTACAGATGACTTTCTACCAATTCAAGATCACAATTACCTTGTCAGAAAACCAAACTTGTAAAAGAATTGACTGATTGACTAAACTATTCTTAGGTGCCAAAACAAAACCATTCCTTTTGCTAGTCCACACATGAGGTACTATGGAGGATGCTGATCCACTCTGTAATGAATACAGCGTAGAAACCTAGAGCTGCTAAAGGAAGGAGAGTCTCAAACAGTTCACAAACATTGGAATAAATCAAAGTTAACATTAGCGGCATCTTAATTTATATCTATTATTTAAATGAAACAAAATGAAAGACTCGTCATGACCTACATCAGTCGCTCCATGAAAGTGCACCACGTGGTCTGTGACTTGTTGAATGCTGGTGAAAACTTGGTAGATCTCATTTTACGTATGATGTCTGGCGTGTAACAGTATCGAAGCATTGTGTTTCTATGATTGACAAGCCTGATAAAACAGCAGTATTTCTAGGTTCATAGAATTGTTCGGGTGTCAAAACATGTACTTCATGTACAAGAACCTCAAAGCACCAAACCTGCCCTTCCTGTCTTCCTCCACATGTAGAGTTGTTCACTAACCAACTGATGCAAACTGACTTCATTAGTTGGCCAAACTCACTCAATGAGTGGGACTGTATTGTTAGAACACTACATATCGCAGGATTTCACGTGTAATTGAACAGTGCGCTTGTGCAAGGGCCCGTCGGGTGACATTAAAGGTGAATAATTCTGTCGGATTGCTCAGTCGGATAATACGCCGTTATCCTTATTTGTGACATAAAATGTCATGTTGGAGTCGGAATCCAAGGCTGTCGGTATGTTAAGGCTGTTTTTATGGGTTCCGTTCATTTTTCCTAAAACCTGTCGGTTAGCAAGGTTTAGGATCGTTAAAGGTCAGATTATCGAATCACGACTGGATATACAATACTAATAGCAAAGCCTGTAAATGGTATGTCAGTGAAAGTGACAGTCTTAAAGATCTGCGTTTCATTCTATTGTGATGACTGATGAATGCATGTGTGTTTTTGGAACCTCAAATCTCAGAGCTCCTGGGCACCCCTATAGCTCACCTGGTTGAGTGGGCGAAGCACAAACAGGGGCTGTAGTTCCCTGACGCAGCAGTCGTGAGTTCGACTTCCGCTCACGACAGTTTGCTGCAGGTCCTCCCCTCTTTCCTGTGTCACTCTCTCACTGTTCTATCCAAAAAAATAAAAATCTCCAACATCCCAACATTTCTGCCACAAGACATTCAAAGTCACCACATATGGAAGCTTAGTCTCTTGTGACGTTTATAATAATTATGTCTTAATGTTTTGGCAGGAACTTCAGCACAGAAACTCCAGTTACACTGTCAATCCGAGGACTTTCATATAACTCCATCACTGGGTCATCGGTCAGTCACCACTGTGTTACCTCACTTGATGACTAAACAGACTTTAATTTAAATGAATATCTTGAGATTACTACTTTAAGTAAAAGTATGTGTAAGTATTGTGAGGATAATGTACTTAAAGCAAACATAATCAGAAATTAACCCTGTGGTACAGTATCATCAGACTGTTAGAATGCATTGATGCCTGGAAAACTTTGTACTTTGTTACATTTAGGAAGTTAAAAAATCAGTTTAACAGGTTAATTACTATTTTCTATTAAAAACAAATACTTAATAGACTTTCCAACTTGTTTCATTGACATGACAGATGAGTGCAGCGAACCCTGCAGTGTTTCCTCCCAACCAAAGGGCTGGTTCCTGTGTTTCAGCTGTGTTACTTCTTCCTGTCTATCTTGCTCCTCATAGCCTTGACATCCACTGAAGCAGAGGCAGCGGCGGCTTTGGCCTTTTCCTCCCTCTCCTGCTGCCACAGGATGATGGGACGGATGCCTGGACTGTGGCTGTTGGCATTTTGCTGCAGCTGGGCTGGACTGGGGTGGAATAAGAAACATGATGAACTCAAGATGATCATAAAAAGACACCCTCACAGTTGTTTTTGTTTCACATCTTTCCAACATATCAATTTTTAAAAAGACATAAAAGGGGAACATTTGCAAAGGTGTTAAATACTTTTTATAAGCACTGTACTTGTTTGCTGCTGTATTTATGTGTACAATCTTCCCAACATGGCCAAATGAATACCTGCAGGTTATTTCATACAAAATGTTTCTATTTTGTATGAACTGAAGATGTTACATTTCAAAGCTCCATTTCATTAATATGCACAAGTACATTTTCAGAAGACAATGAATGTATTTTCCATTGCAGTTTTTTCTACAGTTTCTTGTTTTGTTTTTCACCATTTTTCTCATGAAGCCTCCTATCTTGTTGATACCTGCTGTAATGCCTCTTAAGAGTATAAAACCTTTCTGGTAGCTGGAAGCTACATGAAGTGTTTGTGTGAGTTTGGGCTTAAAACGCCATGATCATGGGGACAAACAACAAGCATCAAAAGCATCACAAGCATATTTTAAAGCCTTTTCTACATGTACTAGATTGCCAAGCACCGTAATACATGTGTTACTTTAACTCTGTGTAACTTTAAAGGAAGTTTGTTCTGTTTCTGACAGGATCTTAGCTCTTTGACACAAATAAATGACTTGTCTGTCATATTTTCTCTGCACTGTGACCTTTGACGGGTGTTTGTTCTTAACTTTTGTACTGTTATTTCTGCATTACGGTTTCTGAATTGGTGTTGTGGGTGTAACATCTAAACACTGACTTTGGCAACTCTCACATTTGGATTCATCATCAAATGGACTTGAGACCACATTTAAGTAATTTTCTAACGACAACTGTACATCTGGTCTACATTGAATGTGACTATTTGCTTCATACTTTTGTCCACTTTGACTCAGACAAAGACACGGTGGAGCTGAAGTTGTAGCTATGAATGAATCAGTGTTCCCCATTCTGTTTTGTACTCTGCTATTGATATGTTGGTTTGTTTTTTTATATATGCTGTACTTGTAAAGATCATGTATATCATGGCAGCTTCCAGTGACTGGTTCTTTCAGAAATGTATTAAAGGTCTTCTGGAAACATGACAAAATCTGCTGGATCATAGATAAACATACAACAGTGTAAATATCTGGGTAAATGTCCTTTAATGGTCATTTCCACCAGTCTAGTTCTTCTGGTGTCCGTCCACCAGCTTCTGGTTCATCTTTGACTCCTCTGGACAGAATTGCTGCAGCTCAACTAAACTTGTTGTCTTTCTGATTCAGACTTGTTTCTTCATCAGTCCACAGGTTCTGGATGGTTTCAGTCAGGACTTTGGGGAGACCAGTCTAGAACCTTCATTCCAGCCTGATGGAACCATTTCTTTACCACTTTGATGCGTGTTTGGGCTCATTGTCTGGTTGGAACATCCAACTGTGTCCAAGACCAACCTTCTGCTGATGGTTTCAGGTTTTCCTGAACAATGTGGAGATGATCCTCATTCTTCATTGTTCCACTGACTTTGTGTAAAGCTCCAGTTCCACCGGCAGCGGAACAGCCTCAGAGCCACCTCCATGCTTGATGGTAGGTTTGATGTTCTTGGGGTTAAAGGCCTCACCTTCTCTCCTTCAGACATGTTTCTGCTCAGTGTTTGTTCCATCTGACCACAGAACTTTCCTCCAGAAGGCCCTTTCTTTGTCCATGTGACCAGCAGGAGACTTCAGTGGTGCTTTAAGGTTCTGCTTCTGGAAGAAGAACTTCCTTCTTCATCAGCCTTTCAGCTCATGTTGATGTCAAACCATGTGGACACTGACAGCTGTGTTCCAGCAGCTTCTGGTTCATTCAGAGCTGCTTTCTGCTGATTCCTGGTTGACTCTTGACCATCCTGACCAATTGTCTCTCAGCAGCAGGTGATGGTTTGTAGATCCATCCATCTCTACACCTTAATCCTCACTAGGGTCGTGGGGGCTGGATTCTATCCCAGCTGACTCAGGGTGAAGGCCGGTTCACCTGGACAGGTCACCAGTCTATCACAGGGCTACACTTAGAGACAACCAAGCACACTCACATTCACACCTACGGACAATTTAGAATCACCAATTGACCTCAACATGTTTCTGGACTGTGGGAGGAAGCCGGAGAATCCGGAGAGAACCCACGCTGAACGCAGAAAAGCCATAGACTGTATAAAAGATGGACGTAGCTACCGTGACGTCACCCGTTGGTTTCTGCACTGAGAACATGAAGTCAGGGTTTTGCTACTTCCTGGTTGACATCTTGGATTTTTGGAGCCAGTGACTCAAAAATCGTTGGAGGGGGGCGGAGCCATAGGAGCAGCGATTGGTCAGACGGATTGAGAGGCGGGCCCTCTCTGCCCGCCCACATTTACCGCCTTCTGCTCGCTTCATCTGTATGGTCGCTGCCGACTGTCATTCAAACCAGCCACGCCCCTTGCCCCGCAAAATGTTGACATTTTTAAAAAATTCAGCATTGATTTATTTTCAGATCGGCCACCTGATCTCTGGATTTGACTATGAAAACTAATAAGAAAAAAATCCTGAGCTGTAGGAATGCAGTATTTTGTGATCTGTGATAATTTCTTTTCCAATTCAAGTCTATGGGAGCCAGGGCTTTTTGGAGCCAGCAGCTCGTGGACGTAGGTTTTTGACACTTCCGGGTTGGCTTCATTTTTCAGGGCCGGTTGCTACGTCCATCTTTTATACAGTCTATGAGAAAAGAAGCAGTTTTCTGCGCTGTTGCTTGTGTGCATAGATGAAAACAGATATATTCTTAACTCAAGACTGCAGGTACTGACAGTACTCAGTAAAAGTCACGCACTGTGTACAGGTCAGTGCTGGCTAACGGGTGCACCTGAACTGCAACATGTTTAGATGCATAAATGAATTGAGAAAATTAAATCACACGATGCATTTCTCAAAAGACAAAATTATATTTACTGTAGTTAGGTTTCTGCAAAGGAAAATGAAAAGTATTGAGCAAAAAAGGGTTATTTGGCCATGCCAGACAGCCAGCTGAGTTTAAATAAAGACGGTGCTGCTGTGTCTTCGTCCTGATCAGCCAGCTGTCTGAAGAGGCTGCCTGGCCGGAAGCTGTCGTCACTGCCTGCCGTGGAGGATTTAGGAGTCTGTAGGAGGAAGAAGAAGACATCAGTCACTGCTCTTCTCCTTTGTGAAGTGATGACAAGAGACGACACCTTTGTCCACTGAGCCTGGTAGATCTGATCCAGAACAGTCGTACTGAGAGGAACGGACATTTCAGTGTCTCAAGGGTCCATAAAATTCATGTGGGGAGGAACGTTAAAATATATTCTCTACTAAACATGATTTGTACCAACACGATACATCTCTTTAATGGCAGCCAGAGCGAGTTATCACAAGATGGCAGCGTGCAGCTCTGTGGTCATCTGTCATTTTCCATAACTTGATTAAAATCCTTATTTTCTTCAAAAAGATGATAAAACACTTGCATGGTATTTACTTACTGTAAAATTAGTCTAATTCACAGCCAAGTACTGGCTGTACTGCCCAAAACGAGCGGGAAAACACCATTTACTATGGAAATCTTTGTTTTACTACCCAAAAAAATGGATTTAAATCATTTTTTTCTCGCCCAGGACTGGTTTTATTTTTTTAAATGATCTTTCAAATTTTTTTAGAGTTGACTTCGACTTATTTTTCAGAAAACTGGATGCGTAGCTCTAAATCAAATGTAACCAAATACACTAGCAGGAACTATACAGGCTTTTTGACCAATATTAAGCTGATCCATTGTGGTAAATTCAAATAAAACAGCCTGTGAGCTTTGTGTATGAGAACAACATAGGGTGTTGTTAGCACCAAAACATATAAAAACGTTTAGTGTTAGCAGAATCACATGTGAGAAAAATACTTCCATCATTTGAATTCAAACCTTAGAAAATATTTGTGCAACTCCTTTTAATTTGTTAACAAAATGCCACACACAGCCACAGACCTCCTTACAGATTCAAAAATGTCGTCTTCTTGTTCAGATATGTTGTACACATCCAACACATACAGATATGGTGACACTCAGCTACAACACTTGGCCCCATTTTATTCCCACTGTGTTGGAAATGATGGTAACAGAGACTGTGAGGGAAAAGATTTCCCCCGTTGACAGGATATCCCAGCACAGATGTGGACCAGGGAAAAACAGGTTCTGGTTCTGGTAACCCCAACCCTAAGTATTTGCATAGCTCTATATAACTAAAGATTCTATGATGTTTAATGATCTCAGGCAACAGATTCTAACAAAACTAAATTTTAGTTAGAGGAGACTGTAGTGCTGCAACTAATGACTATCTTCACTCATTGTTGATTAATCTGTTGATTATGTTGTTTGGTCTATAAAATGTAGGTAAATGGTAAACTCAGGAAACATAAGACACTGTCGTCAGTTGTCTTGTTTTCTCCACAAATCAATGAAGTTTACTGTCATCGATGAGAAACAAAACAAGAAAGTATTCACATTTAAGATGCTCTGTTCAGAGAATTTAGAAATTATTTCCTGTGAAAAAAATTACACCAATTAATTATTAAAATAGTGAGTGAATCGTTCAATAGTTGCAGCTCTGGTGGACTCTTAGCAATATGTCAAAGAACAGACAAGGAGAAATGATAGCAGCTCCAAGCAGTTCTGAACAAGGGACTGCTTTCGCCGTTTCCAGAGGAGAACATGGTGGAAACTAACCTTAATACACAGATGAACCACAACATCATGACCACCAGCACATGAAGCAAATGATGTGGATTGTGTCATAACAGGGCATGTCAAGGTCTGGGACGCCTGCCTATCCACCAGGTGAGGCTAACTCTGAGGGGGAACAAACCAGGAACCAGCCACAGGGTGTTGGGATTCTGCTGGAAGCGAACTGAAACAAGCTCAGAGATCTGCTGCTAACATCAGCAGAGCAGCTTTAGAGGCCTGGTAGAGGGTTAGGGTTAGCTGTTTGAGCTGTTTGAGCTGTTTCAGTGGAAGTTCCAACAGTATAAATAGAACATTTAGGCTCAGGCAAGTACAACTGCACTGTGTAGCTGCAAGTGTTACTTCAGATCACCAGAGCAAATGATTTGCAGGAAACCTGGATTATTCTGGTTAAAAATGACAAAATGATTTTATATACATGGAGATGTTTTAGCCCAACTTAGCGGGGGAAGCTGCTAGCATTGCTCAGTCAAACTTGTTGGTCGGTTGTGTGACTGGCTAATTATGGAATAATTCCAATCTGAGCGGCACAAAGACATTTGCTGTTTTTAGTTCTGCTAAAGACAACACAAACTTTAGTCAAAATGTGCTAATTTCAGTGTAGGACTGGTCCACTAAATGAGCGCCTCATGCTCACTGCCCCATGCTGCTGCTCAGTATGATTCCTCAGTAAATAGTCTGATCCTAAATTACTTAACGAGCCAAACAGAGCGTGGGAGCTTAATGAGACCTCAGGGCTCTATATCAAAACAAACTGAAGGGTTTGCAAGGCTGAAGTTAAGAGTTTTCAGAGTCACAAAGGTGGCCCCCTTTAAACCTGCTAGATCTCTATGGTAACAGATGCTGTGGAGCTTGGTCTCCATGGTAACTGATGCTGTGAAGCTAGATCTCAATGGTAACTGATGCTGCAGAGCTGGATCTCCATGGTAACTGATGCTGTGGAGCTAGAGCTCCCTGGCAACTGATGCTGCGGAGCTGGATCTCCATGGTAACTGATGCTGTGGAGCTAGATCTCCATGGTAACTGATGCTGTGGAGCTAGATCTCCATGGTAACTGATGCTGTGGAGCTAGATCTCCATGGTAACTGATGCTGTGGAGCTAGGTCTCCATGGTAACTGATGCTGTGGAGCTAGGTCTCCATGGTAACTGATGCTAACCTGGTCCAGGTTGTGCTCAGCTTCTCCCTTTAACCAGACTGGTTCCTGATGATGATGTTTTCCATGTAAACCTGCTGATCTGTACGTCAGTAAAACCACTGAATGAAGCAGTTACAGCATCACACACTGGAGGCATCCTGTTGCCATGGAAACCTACTTATATTGAGCTGCTGATGCAAAAAATCACATCAACATGTTTTTATGTTCACTCTGCTGGTACTGCAGCTGATAGATCACTGATTAGAACATTCGTTTGTTGGTTGCATTACAGATAATATTGAATCAATAACATTACTGTCAGTTGGATTTGGCCAAAAACTGAAGCAATTTCCACATATCCTTCATTATGGGACAGTGTTAGACCTCAGCTCTGATATGCAGCTCTCATGTTAGAATTAAGCTGCTGCATTGAAAGTGCACTGAGTAGTGAAACTAATATATTTACCTCCATGATTAACAGTTTTCCTCCAGAATTCCTGACGTGCACCATTTGCAGTAACAGTGCTCTTTAGAGTTCTATATTCCTCATAGCTCTCTAATACAACAACCTGTTCCTCTTGACTGAAGCAGGCCCCTTTCATGTGAATGGTACAGCGTGCGAAGAAGAAAACCTGGTTTACAAAGAAAGTTCATAACCACTGTGGTGACAGCCATCATCTCTGACCGGGGTTCTAGGTTTTCTCAAACCAGCTTACAAAAAGAAAGCCTGGCTTTGTCAAACTGGCTTCGTAGTGCAGCCCTTTAAGCATCCACACACATTAGTTTCTAACCTCATCAATAAATTATTCATTTAAATCACTAATCATTCAGCATCAGAAATACATAAATAAAGCAATCTCACACTTTAAATGCACCAAAGCACTACTAACAATCCAACCAAAGCACAAGCACAGATTTAAACCCAAACGGAGAAACTTGCCTGATTTTCTTGCACTCAGAAATGCTGGAAAGGCAGAGTGTAACACACAACATTTATGTTGGGTCCAACAAACAGTAACAGTGAAAAATAAAAATAAATTCATCCTATGGTTGTAAGCAAATGAAACAGCAAAACTAAAATGTCCTTCAGAAGAACACAGTCAGACTCAGAGCAGCTCCAGCGTCCAGATTCCAGATCTGTTACTCACCAGCTGAAGAGGAGCCTCCGAGCTCCTGGACGCCGACTTGGATTTCCGCGCATTTGACATGCTGAGAGGCAGCAACCCAAACCTGCAGAGGACAGAACAGTCAGGGTGGACTGGCAAGCTGTTTTCCAGCACACATTATTTATCTGACAACGTTCGTCACTGCTGTCTGAGTTGATTAAATATGACTTTAGAAAATGGTTTGAATCCAACTGGACTACAGCAGTACAATCTGCCTCCCCATGAATCCATCAGAAGTAGAAGGCCAGCAATATCACAGAGACATGTTTATTTAAAGTACATATCTATACGTACAAGTTTTACTTGTTAAACTTTCTGAACCCAAGTACTGCCTGACTACTTATCGACAATCAGAGGTGGGATACAGGTCATACCTTTGTATACATCCCACAACATCTCACTTTAGTCATCACCTGGTAACATTTTTGAGATGTTCCATGAATCACCACAGGGAACCAAGTCGTTGGATTTTCGCACATTTCATACAAAGAAGTTAACCAATTTAAATGCTTCTGGACACTTCTGTGTATGTTTGAAATATTACTTCTGGATAATCAATCAGTACTAGGAGTGGACAGACTGGACAGAATTAAGAGACTGACAAGAACAGAGTCCCCCTCAGACATTGTTAACTGTGCTGGCGATCATCCATGTTGGAGAGCCACGACCACCAAAGCTTGTATCACGCCTGGAGACGAAGAAGAACTAGGCGTGATCTTCATGATGATCATCCACAACATTATTGTGGTTAAGGTGTTCTCTGAAAGCTGGTGTCAGCATTCAGTAAAGATCATTTATGAGGTTAAGACACTTCACTGTACCACCAGCAGATTGGCAACTTTACTCTGCTGAAGGAGTCATATCAGCTTCAGGAGGACTTTCCATTTTAACGCACACACAAATTTGATAACATGCAGCTCTACCGGCTTCTTGGGTCAGTTCTCGGGTTACTACGAACCAGCAGAACTGTGGAGACATTAGGGTAAAAAACTCAAACATCATCCAGGTCTTTACCTCCAGATCCTCTCTCTTACTACAACGACATGAAGAGACCAGCAAAGGCTTCACACCGTCTCAGTGTCACTCGGTTGGTAACTAAGGATGCTTGTTTTAAAGCAATGCTCAAATGTCTGTGTACCGTGAATCCTTTTTGTACAATTTTTGTTCCTGTAATTACTCCTTCTGTTCTGTTAGAACATCCCATCCTGAAATGCCTTTAATGGAACTGTGACAGGGGACAAAATCCACAGTCATTGTTTTGTATTTTAAGGTATGAGTCTCCAGAAGTCTCAGACAAATCAAGTGGACATCTTTCAGAATTACAGTCTTTTAGTACTTACTGATTGGTTCCCAGAGGAGCCAACTGTCCTCATAGGATTCTCCTTTAATTCCCCAACACTTGTATGCAGAAGTGTCAGGACAATCCAGAGTGGATTTTTTTGTGACTGACTGGACTCAGAGAAGGCTCTTTGTTATTTGAACTGGAACTGGACTGGCTGGTATCCAAAAGATTAAAAAACTACATGAAACTGTGTGTAGCATGCAGTGTCCCTGGTTTGAGCTGCAGCGGAGGGACTGTTGCACAAAGGGAAATTTGCAATCCACATTGTGAGATGTCTTTCTCATTGGACCGTCTGGTCTTGAAAACACATTTTTGCTTGAACAAAGACTGAGGATTTTCACAACACATTATGAAGAGATTTCCTCTTGTCCAGGATGAACAGGAGGAATGACAGCAGCTGGGAAACTCTGTTTCAAAGTTCAAATACAAATGCTTTGACTCCTCTAAACTCCAGGCTGACACAAAAAATGAGCAAAGAGGTGGAGCGCGAGTGGAGCCGAGTCGACGACCTGTCACTCAGAGCGGCCACGACTTAAGTTTGCATCACGTTCGGTCTCAGTACAGTTCAAACAGTTCAAAACAGAAATCAACTACTGAGACCAAAACCGTTTCTTGCGCATGTCTTTGTGCTGTAAAGTCGGACATTTCAACTTGGGGGTCTGCAGAGACCAACCTGCTTTTGGAGCGGCCTGAAGTGGAAATTTGTAGAACTGCACTTTTTTAGTACTTCTGTATTGGCTTAATTTGCCATCCTTGGAGACTGGTACTTGGTTGAAATAAACACTGGTTTTAAGACAGACTCTAAATTGTAAACCTATTTTTCCATTTTCCACGGAGTAACACAGATTCACTATGAAGTGGTGATGACCTCTGACCTGATCTGGCTGCTGGCCAGTGGCAGGATGTTGTAAGGCTCCTGGGAGTTCACACTGCTGCTCCGCAAGATAAACTGCTTTTCTGAGCCTGTCAGCAGCCCCAACAGCACCTGAAACACAAAGCTACCTTAACCAAGTGGACACATGAGGAAACAAGGCAGCCTTGTATGTGGTGTTTGTTGCTACGTGTGGACAGCAGCTGAATCCTTAAATAATTCTAGCCACTCCTGCTCAACCAGTAAGGTAATGTGTAAGTTCTTCACATCTACTGTTTCTATGTTGATCAGGCTACAAGCACACTGTGTTCTTCTTTGTTTCATCTATGTAGGGCTGGAAGTACCGAAGTCCTCTGGGACAGGCGGTTGAGGTTGCTGTTCAGCGGAGGCGTAAACACGTCCAGGTCAAAGGGGTCGATGAAACTCTCCAGCCAATCACAGACCTCGTGGAGTCTGGGAGACACACAGAGCAGCTTTTTCAAGACTGCAGTAACAGAAAACTATTCAAAATAAATCTAAAAATCCACAAAAAACATTAGAGTAAAATCACACAACTACAAATCAAGCAGAGTTTTCTTAACAACTTCCAGACAACTTCAACTCTGTTGGATGTTTCTTGCCCTCCAACTATCACCTCATATTATTTGAACAATCCGGCCAGAACTGTTATTCTGTATTTTCCTGGAATTTCAGTCTATATGTGCAGAAACATTGTTGTGTTCGCCGTCTTCTACAAACCTTGTTAATGCTGTCAGGCACATGCCGTGTCCAAATACTGAAGTCTGACATTTAAATGCCATAAATCCACTTTTTAGCTGCTAACATGTTTTCTGCTTACTTAGTCGGCTTGCAGGCATCAGCCACAGTCGCCCCATAAAGACTTCATGCCCCATGCAGGATGAAGACAGGACATGAAAATGAGCCACCTCTAATGTGTTTTGCCCTTTTCCGGGAGCTTTCCTGCCCTTTGAAGTAAGTTTGCCAAGGGGATGATACCTGGGGTTTTGGAGGGATCGGGCGCTCCTGCCCTCCTCAGGTCTGCTGCCCAGTGTGGCATTGAGGTAACGAAGGTCAAACAGCAACTGCAAGGCTCTGTTCTGAGTCATGGGGAATACACCCGGCTGAAGGATGAAGTGGTGGAAGAAAACAAAGCATAGAAATTCATGAAGTAATGGTGAGCTTAATAAATTCCTTTGGCCTTCCTCCTGTCTTCTCAAATGATTTCCTTGGCCTTATCTGTTCCCTGTCTCAGTGTACAGCACAGTTACCTTGCTGCCGGCCTGCTGCATGAGGCTGTGGTAGTGGTTCAGTGCCTGAGTTAAACAGGCCTGCAGCAGCTCCTGCAGAGTGGGCCTGGGCAGGGCGTGGCCACCAACCCTGTTCACCTCCACGCACAGCTGGAACAGCAACGACTGCACAAACCACGATGGCTGCGGAAGACACAGAACAAGGCTTCAAATTAGACCTCAGAATGGAATCAGAAATCACAGTCCTTCCTGTCTGAGTTATGCCGGGCTCACCCCTTCTGACAACTGCAGGAGAAATCTATCAGGGATGTTGGTTTGAAATGATGTTCAGCCCAGATCACTTGGTACTGTGACAGATTTCCAGATCCCGTCTGAAAACTTCTGAGCTGCTCACAGACTCATCAAGGCTCCCCCGATGTTTGCCAAAGTTACATTTTCTAGTCCTTAAGGCAAGCGTTAGCTACAAATGTTAAAACTGTGATAGTTTAATCTCACCTCTAGTCTTAACCAAAGAACAGAGGAATCATGTTGAACCATTCCTAATAACAACTAAAACTAAGCAGCGAGCTGTATTCGTGCTGCAAGTTGTTGCGTCTCTCTTTTGTTTGCATCTGTGTTACCATAAGATTCTGTGAGGTGGTGCACCGTTCCCTGATGGCTCCTTCTCTGACAACAATCTTACTATCTTGTAGTGTGTGCAGGTCTGAGAGCGGAGACAAGTATGTTTGTGAAGTTGCAACCTGGTTTCAAAAACAGTTAGGAATTTAAAACTCTTGCAGTGCAGCCCGGGCTTGGAGGCCGGCGAGAGCGGCTGACCTGGACTGGAAGACGGATTTTGGATGTGACGCTGCTTCCTGACTCAGCCTCTTCTTGGATCTCCAGATCCTCCCAGTTTGTTACTGTGGTTAGAATGGCTCCAGCTGACTGGGCATGTAGCGCTGTGCCGAACTTATCCAGCAGCACCTGTCACAACACAGCACAACTGAGCAGGTCTTCAACATGACTAAAAGCATCATACTCGTAGAGTTCCTGGTCATATGGGGTCAGTGGCAGTTGTAAACAACACTGACATATCATTACTTCATGAACTTCTTCTGACTGACATGCTAGCAAACAGCAGACACAGATTAACATTATCATTCATTTAGGAGTCACATTTGTTTACACCCGATTCAATATTCACTCTGTTCTGAGTAATTGGATGCATAGTTAATATAAAACTTTGGTTGGAGCAGATAGTACTAAGGGTCTTTTCTGTCTCCTACATGAAGCATCAAAGCTGTAATCCCTGTGTAATGAGCTGGACCTGTGTTTACTGGTACCAAGCAAGCCTACCGTGTTCCTGCTCAAAGCTCTGTGGTGCGTGTGGACTGATCTGTCTCATGAGCTGATTTCAGCAGATTAACTGAACCTCATTGCTTAAATTCTGCTACACTTTTGGCTCTCTTGTTTTTGCCTCTGCTACTGTTTTGTACACTCTGCAACACAAGACAAGGGCAGCAAATACATTTTCACAGATCTACATTCTGAAAGTGTCTGACTTTGGACAGGGCGGAGCTCCATATGCGGTAGGCCTCCATACTGCAGTTGAGCAGCTCCTCCTTCAGACCGGCCCACTTGGCCTGGGCGGGGCTGACCTCTGCCGTGGCCCTGGCTTTGCCCAGCTTCTTGCCCTGTTTGTGGATCCCTTTGGCTTCGGGTGCGCTCTGTTTTCCCAGGATGCATTGCCTTAAGTTTGGGCAGAGTTCACCCATAGACTGGCACAACCTGGCCATGAATAGGACTGAACTGAGGCGGGTGAGGCTGGAGTCCGGTGAGACTGCCGCCAGCTCAGAGCGGATGGAGGACAGGATGTGGTGAATACAGGCCCGACAGCCTTCACGTAAAGCCTCCTCCACTGCTGGAGAGTCTGTGAAGCGGTTAAATGAGGATGCTGAGGAGCCTTCAGCAGGTCCACAGGAGGACACTGAGACGGAGTCAGATCCTGTCAAACACATCATAGAGGAAGAGCAGTTATTGCCATTCCCAGTGTAAAGCATAAACATAAATGTAGTGTACATATGTAGTTGTCCATCCACCTATTTCAATTTTTAAAAAATGTAACCAGCAAGCAGCACTTGCAAAGATTCACAAAAAAAATTCAGATATGCATTATTAACAACAATGATGAGTAACACGGTGACAGTTCACTGGACTAGTCAAAGCTGTGACACACTTTTCACACAAGATGAAAAGCCACAGGCCAGGGAAGTCTTCGGATTTGTCCTGTGGGGACCAGTATTGTCTGTACCAAATGTCTCGGTACACTCAGCAACAGTTTTAGTTTAGTTCTTTTTACTCAAAACCAAAAGTGTCAGTTTTAGTTATTACATTATCGTTCCTCAAATCATCTATAGGCTGTATTTCCCATTTGAATACATACAAACTAATGAGCAGACTGTAATAGCATCTGCAAAAGACAAGATAAAACTGCTCTGAGTCAGTTGAGTCAAGAAGCATCTGCCAGCAAAGGTCTGAAATAGCAAATTGGTTTGTATTTGGGGATACAGTCTGTCAGTCTAAGAGATCAGGTAGGGCCGCTGCTCTAAAACTAGCTCAACAGTTTGTTACAGGTATTTGGATGTTGGGGCCTTGGCCGTCCCATGGAGACAGCATTAGGACTAACATTTCTATTAAGGAGTTATTGTTGTCATTGCACCGCCTTAAGCAGCCCAGTACACCTAGAATTAGCACAAACTGACTCTACCTGTGTCCTGGGAGGGAAGGTAGTGCTGGAGGTCATCCAGCCTGGCCTTCAGCTTTGTGTCCAGGACAGAGCAGAAGTTCTGCACGCACGGTGTCAAGGCCTGGGTCTTCATGGCCAGACCACTCCTCTGCTGCTGCTGTCCCCGCTGGGTCACACTGACCCAACCTGCATCGCTCAGCAGGTCCCCTGGAGACTCCAACCACAAGAAGGACGCTACATCTACCTCATACTGGGCTCCGCGGCTGGAGCCGGGGTTGGTAGCGGAAGAAGAAGAGATGGTCTGGCCCTCAAGATCCCTCACAGTTGAGATGAAGAGCTGGACAGAGCTCAGTGAAATGGCTTCAGTTTCCTCTCTAGTGATGGCCTTGAGGATGGAAGGAAAGATTCAGTGGAGTATTCTACATATATGACAAGACTGATGTAGCTGCTTAAAACCATTAACTGCTTTAAAATTCTCAAGGTGAGGGAGGAAGCAACCTGCAGGCGCTGAAGGAAGAGTTGCTGCAGGAAGTCATCCCAGACTGCCAGGGGGCGCTCTAGCAGCCGCTGACACACGGTGCTCCAGTGCTGACTGATGGAGTCGGTGGACAGAAGGTCCCACACAGCATCTCTGATGGATGCTAAGCCCTTCAGGCTCCTCACATAGACCAGCAGGCTGCCAACACCACAGCAGATGTCCTCCTTGCAGCTGAGGAAAAGACAACACATTGGAGAGGCACTGATTGTCTTCTTGTGCTGAATTGTACGGTGCTGCACACTAGCACAAATATTCAAATGACAAATGTAGTACAGTGAACATTTCCACACCACTAACATAGTGCACAGTCATGTTCTGCATTCAACACTAACACTGTTTAATTCACCAGGTATTTCCAGTTTTCTCTACTTTACAATTAGGATAAAGGACTTTGACATTTCTGATCCCGTTGAAGTTGCTCAGGTTGTCGCCCTGTTGTCATCTCTCCATAGAGACAGTTACACTGATCCACCACAACATGCACATCCAGGACAGGTAGTATGAAGTATAAAAACATGGCTCTTTTTTTTGTACTGATAAAACTAGTGCTGTAGAAGTTACAGTGAATTTTAGTGCTGCAACAATCAGTCAACATGAAGTTAATCAGTGACTCTTTGAATTAAAAAGCAAATATTTTGTATTTGACCTCTCAAATATGGAGACTTGATTTATTTTGTTGCGTTGGACAAGTTAGTTGAAGATGACACCTTGGTTTGTGGAAAATTCTAGCAGTCATTTTCTCCATCTTCAGACATTTTTAAAATGAAATCTCTAAAATGATAAGTAAATTATAGGGATGTCTAATAATATCAGTGGGTCGATATTATTGGCGCAATACTGGTATAAAAATGTAATATATGTCAATATCGTTATCGTTTTGAGGTTTTTTTTGCCTATAATGAAAACCGTTAAAATAATGCCTGGATTTCACCGGCATGTACATGATGCGTTATCTCCACGATAGGAGATATGTGATGTTACCTAAAATTAATTAAATAGCCCACATACATTGGTATCGGTTGATAGCAGAATCAGAAATTGAGAGTTGGACAATAGCTGCAAAAAAGCCAATATTGGACATCCCTCGTAAATCAATCAATAAAAATAATCATTGGGTGCAAACCTACTGACTCCACGATATCAAGAGGTAAATAAAGCAGAAGGCACAAGAATTATTTTTGGCAGAGCTGCATAAGAGTGCTCTTTATAATTTGATCATTATGAATCCACGTATGCAACAATAGGCAGCATCGGGAGACTGACTGAGCTGACTTCAGCATTTCCTGACTTACGATATCCACGTTTTGTTGTATAAACAAAATCCTTCATCCAGCATTCTCTGGGATTTTCTGTGCAACTCTGAGAAACATCTAGGACAAAGGAAAAAAGGGTAAATGAAAAAAGATGAGCAGCATCCTCACGTATCAATCCACTGCTGCAGGGTGTCACGGAGCTGCTCTCTCTGGATTGGCTGAGCCAGGGTGCGAAGTGCGGGCTGGAACTCAGTGATGGACTGAGGCAGGTACCTGAACCAGCTGCCTGCACTCGCCTCGTCCTGCAACACCCGCCTGCCTTTAGCTAAGGACAGAAATGGGATTGGTGGATGAGACGTTTTACCAAAAGCTATGACACACTGTGGCGTTTCTGGTGTAAAACAGCCAATCCAAAATTTCTGCAAAAGTTTAGTTTCAGTTTCAATTGCTGTTGTTGTTTCCTGCAGCGAACAAAACAGTAACACACAGATAGTGGAAGGGGAGGAGAATACTGACTGAGCTTGTGGGCTGAAAGCAGTCGTATACTCACAACTTACATCCAGGGAGTCACAGTACTAAAACATTCACATTGGAACTCAAGTTACACCTCATTAGGTTGAAGTGGCACCATTGAAAGACAAGCTCACCATCTCCACATGACTACATCTAATGCAGTCTAGGGTATACTAAATGTTTTGTTTTTTTTGTTTAATGTATCAGTCAATTCATTAAACAACTAATTTATTACAATTTACACTTTCATTTAGCAGATGCTTTTATCCAGGGCGACATACATCTGAGAGTAGATCACATTCATACACCAATGACAGAGTTGCCATGCAAGGTGCTGCCTGCCATCAGGAGCAACTTCAGGTTCAGTGTTTTGCCCAAGGAGACTTCCACTGTGGAGGGGATCGAACCACCAACCGTACCACCAGAGGACAACCGCTCTAAATAAAAAACTAGTTGATTAATATTTTAATAATTTATTCAGTTATCGGTGTCTAACTTCCACGTCACTGCTATGATGCTGATAGTAGACACTATTTGTCAGGCGCCTGATGTTGCTTTTGGCATTTTTGCACAAACACAGGCTTAACATGTGACATCACGACTGATGGAAGACACTGCTCGTGTTGCATGTGTGTGACCGTCGTGTGCTCGGTGTATAGCACAGGAAGCACACCTTTGTAAATTCCTCTTCAAAAGGAAGCCACTAAAAAGCATCCTGATCTCCCAGATTCTCAGCTGTTTACCTGCAGGGGTAGTGGAGGTGACATTCTCCAGGATGGAGAAGAGCATGCCACAGCTCAGGGCTCCCTCCCCAGTCCTTGGGCCTCCTTCTGGGGGCAGGTAGAAGACAGCATATGCCTGGAAAAGAGTAGTGACCAGCAGCTCGACCAGGCTGCACACTTGGGCCTTGATCCCAGCTCCTGGATAAAAACAGATGTGTTTATGAACCGGTTCACATTTGGTTTGTCCAGACAGGTATTTACCTCCTGCTTCACGATGAAGGCCTTTTTACTTTAAGTCTTTTCAATAAAAACATTGGTCATGTGACAATTTGACTTCAAATGCATAAATGCTGGCCGCTGTAACAAGTGGCAGAATACCGTGCTGTGGTTGGTTCAGCAGCTGATGGATGGAAGATTTCCGGGCCAACAAGAAGTCAGCCAGGGCCTGACGGGGTGAGCTGTCCTCCAGCAGCATAGTGGAGACGAGGGCCTCAGCGATGGCCTGATCCGACACAGCCCGGCCCCTCAGCAGAGACCTGCTGTCTAGCAGGATGGCTGACCTGCAGGAACACAGCCCGCTTACTCATCTTTGACCAAGTGGTCTTTGTTATCTCCATCACTAATTTATTCAATTCTAAGGCCTGGAGTTTCACCGTTAGAATCACTCAACTCTAAGCAGGAACTCTGCTCCCCAGAAACACAAGTAACAAGGAATCCAGTACCTGAAGTGTCCAGTGGTGGCGACCTGCCGGACCAGGATGGGGAAGCGGGCGAGGACGGGGTTGTAGTGGCCTGCTGTAGCGGCCTCCAGGTGCAGAAGAATGTGCAGGTGGCAGCAGAGCAGGTACAGCTGCGTGGCTTGGAGGTACTGGGATGCCTCCATGGCGCTCCAGATACATTCTGGGATCTCGAGGAGAAGCTTGATCTGAGAGGCCATGGTGTAGAACTTCTCCTGCCACTGCCTCTGGTCCTGGTTCTACAGCAGGACACACAGACACATTACATCCTTATATGTGGTCTAATAAAACCACTTCAAACAGTGTGCATGGGACGACACACAAACAACAAAATGTAGTGATGCACAGTCATATTTTATGTCAATAGTACAGGACGAGCTATAAAGTGTTGTGTCCTTAGTGGACATATGTGACCTGTTTGTATTTCAACATGCAGTCATGACTGGAAGTGTATCGTTACTACTTTGCCACAAACAAAAAACTTGAAGTCAACGTTAAATGTGCTTCTTCAGTAAAGGTGACTTGACTTGAGGCAGGTTTGGTTTGAAGGGTCAGCAGGTGAAGCTGCTTCCGGTTCTACCAGGATCATATGGGCCGTGTGTTCCTGCCGAACTGACCACGTTTGTCTTTGGCCCACATTCATTATAACATTTCAGTCATTCTGGGGTGGATATCTGTCAGTACGCTGTATAACAATGAATTAGCAGATTGTAGAATGAAGTTTGGTGCTGCTAAGATGACACCTGGCGCAGGTGTAAATGAAGACCGTCTGCGGCTCACCTCCTGCCTGCAGCCGGTCCCAGCGGCTCGGCCCTGCTTCAGCATGAGGCAGTACTGCTGCATGTCCTGGATGGACCGAACCACGCTCTCCGAGCACTGCCGCATCTCCCCGATGGTGTCCGCGGCGTCGATCAGGTCCCGGTACCGCTCCCCCACCATCTGCCTTAGCTCCTCCTTCTTCTGCTCGATCTCCCCGCGGACTCTGCGTTCGATCCGCCGGATCTCTTCGGTGTTGTAGCGCTCGAAGAGAGCCGCCGGATCTTTGATGTCCGAGATCCGCAGGGACGGGGTTGCTTCCTCGGCCATTGCTGCTCCACAACAGCTTCAGTAGATGCGGAAGCAGGAAGTGTAACAAGCACTTCCTGTCTCCACGTAAACAAAACTGTGACGACGACGGAGATCGATGTGATCATTGGTCACCGCAGCTGTCTGTCAAAAAAAATATTCCGCGCAACTAATTTTCCTCATCCATCCAGTATCTCTACACCTTAATCCTCATTAGGGTCGCGGGGGGGGGCTGGGGTCTATCCCAGCTGACTCAGGGTGAAGGCAGGTTCACTTGGACAGGTCACCAGTCTATCACAGGGCTACACTCATAGGCGAAGGGAGGGCAGGGGCCACAGGGGCCCATGGCCCCTGCTGGAATCTGATTGGCCCCCTCTCGGCCCCCCTGTGAAATACTGTCTTGTCATTGGGTAGTTTCTTTGAGGAGCGCCTAGCTGGTTCTTACAGCGCAGCTTCATGGGGGCGTGGTGAACAGAGTACTGTGGTAGTGTTTGTGACGGGAGCGGCTGGAACATAAAACAAGCACACCTCTTCTCTCACTTCCACTCTGCACTGACGGACGCTCTGAGACGGTGAGAGTCAAATTCAAACGTGCAGTAAATTAAACACAAACGAGTTCCTGATATGTTTTATCTTAACTCGTAGATTTAGCCCTTATCTTTACTTCACATTTTGATGACAAAAGTTGATGCTATTCGGTAGAGAAGGTGATGAAACGTGCCACCTCGATGGTAAATAACCATCAAGGGGTTCCTGCATTAATGATTATGTGACATGAGATCTTGCTACGGTGTGTTTTTTTTTTTTCTTTTCCTTCTTTTTTTTTTTTTGAAACATGAAAATGTGCTGACTTTACATGAAGACACTTTACACAGAGATGTTTTGAGAGCAGCCAGGGCATTCCCCGTCACAAGTTTGGGTTCCACCTGAATGGTGTCATTTAGTCTCTGTTCCAGCAGCAGCAGGGCTCAGAGATGTCAGAAAGAGGAGCAGCCAGCATGGTTAGTTATCTGAACCCTGTTCAGGACTTTCATGTTTCCATTCATAGAAGGTCTTTGGGGGTCCATTAGACCCCAAGAAAGAATATGTGCAAAATAATTGTGGGTATTCATTATAGACTTTTATACGATGTTATATACATTTTCTGATAAGTTGACATATTTTTGGCTCCAAATGCATGACACATGTCCCTCTTTTTATATTTAAAAATGAAATCATTAAAAATCAAAAAACAATACCTGTCATCTTAACTAAATGTCCTGGGGTCCAAAAGACCCCAAAAGTCCTGAATAGAGTGAAGAAGAAGCCATGTGAGGGTCAGACCAGTGAACCAGACAGGTTCAGGGGGACAGTTCTGAGGACAGGCATCCAAAGCAGGACCAGTCCAGCAGCTGTAGTCCATCATCAGAGACGCAGAGCAGGACAGACAGACATTCCTCAGAGCAAATGAAGAACAACATTGTTCATATAAAAGAGGAGAGCATTGTGTTTATGTGTGTATTCACATGTATGTATCATTGTAATGTACCGTGAGCCATCAGGCTGTTACTAACATGAGTCTTCACTGTGAATCAGTCTGAGTGTCATGACCTGCTTTTGAAAGAAGCAGTTATTGTACATTCCATATTGTACAAGTATGTTCTGAACAGAAACCTTTTCTAGATCATGTTTATTTTGTTAGATCTATTTAATCATGTTAGGTCTATATTTAGTCGTACAATGTGAGTACAAGTAAAGAACACTTCTCAAGAAATTGCTGTAGGCTGCATCTACGAATAACATAGCCATTGGGTGCCCCCCAAAATATAGCATTGGCCCCCTATTGGCCCCCCTTAAAAATAAAACCTGGAATCGCCACTGACTCCAAGATGTTTTTGCCGTCCCTCTGCTCTTTATCCAGCTTGGGAGTCACTCCCAGAATTTCGCCACATTTCCGCACATAAAACTGAAGATCATCATCTGTACATTTATTGGTGAGCTGTGCCAGTCGCACTTTCTCATACGAAAATGTGTTGTCCAGAGCAAACAGGTCAAGCCTTACTGGAGGCAAATCATTTAAGGCAGGCCGAAAAACAGCAGGTTTCTTTTTGTTTTGTTTTGGGTTTTTTTGAAAAACAATTGTTTTAATGTTAAATCAGTTACAAGTGCAAGTTTGATCATGTCACACTGTTTAACATCCTCAATTTGCAAACATCCATCCATCCATTATCTATACACCGCTTAATCCTCATTAGGGTCGCGGGGGGGCTGTAGCCTATCCCAGCTGACTTTGGGCGAAGGCAGGGGACACCCTGGACAGATCGCCAGTCTATCACAGGGCTAATTTGCAAACATGTTTTTTTTTTTGAATGCAACATTAAACAGTTTCATTCAACACCCCCAGGTCAGAATATCCTTTCCCCATGGTAAATATTGTTTTGTTTTTTGTTTTTTTGTTCACATTTTTTAGTTTCTGGATCAAGGGACCCAGTGTTAGGAAAAAGAGCAGGTTGAAGCTGAGGCGGTAACGCGCTCATACGTAAGCCGGCGCGGACGGATGACGTAAGATTCAAGATGGCGTCGCAGTACTACCAAGAGATGCAGGAGAGCTTCAGAAATAACAGCAAAAGTCGGGAATTTCCGGCTCACACAGCCAAAGTCCACTCGGTGGCGTGGAGCTGTGACGGCAGGAGACTCGCCTCCGGTTCTTTTGACAAGACAGCCAGCGTTTTTGTCCTCGAAAAGGACCGTTTGGTGAGTCGCGGTGCTCCAGCTGCTAGCATTAGCCTCGTTGTAGTGAATCAATGGAGGGATGCCAGTTTCTTCTCGCTGTTTGTTTTTAGTTGTAGCACATTTCTTGGAGCATTAACTAATTATTTTTGGGCCATACAAAAAGGTGATTACTTGTTTACTCCAAATAGGAGCCAGCTTTTGTAGCCCACAAACACTAGCAAAAAAATGGAACTATGCACTGTTTTGGATGGAACCGTTACAAACATGACTTGTTAGTTAGTGTGTTTAAATGGACCGTTTGACGATAAGTACTATGCCAGAAAACAGTATTTATTGTGCAATAAACCTTTTGAACCCGTAACTTGTTAGTTAGAGAGTGTTGTTTAGGCAGAAGAGATGTTTTTTCCAGTTATTTGAATTTATGTAGGTTGTTCTGTACAGTGTTTCCATGTCAGCAAATCTCCAATGTAACCTTTGGTATCTTTATATCTGGTGGCACAGTTGGTAGCATTGTTGCCTCGCAGAAAGAAGGTCGGTTCGTGTCCCGGTGGGGGCACCGGGATCTTTCTGCATGGAGTCTCCATGTTCTCCCCGTGCAGCGTGGGTTCTCTCTGGGTTCTCCGGCTTCCAGAAACATGTTGAGGTTAATTGGTGATTCTAAATTGTCCGTAGGTGTGAATGTGAATGTGCTTGGTTGTCTGTCTTGAAGTGTAGCCCTGTGATAGACTGGCGACCTGTCCAGGTGAACCTGCCTTCGCCCTGAGTGAGCTGGGATAGACTCCAGCCCCCCATGACCCTAGTGAGGATTAAGCGGTGTATAGATAATGGATGGATGGATCTATATATCTTTGTATCTCCAGTGTTCAATTAGCAGGATAACCTCATGGTCTCAAGCACTAAAAGTAAAGATGTTCTATTCCTTTTCCAAAGAAAGTATTGATGTACATGAATTATTTTCTTACTGTAGTCCTTGTTGATACACTCAGGGTTTATATAACATGTGTCCCTGGACTGATGTGTGCCTGTTAAAGTGTAGTTTGCCTCTGTCTGCCCACAGGTGAAAGAGAACAACTACAGAGGTCACGGTGACAGCGTCGATCAGCTCTGTTGGCATCCAACCAACCCAGATCTGTTTGTCACAGCGTCCGGAGACAAGACTATTCGCATATGGGATGTCCGCACTACCAAATGCATCGCCACTGTCAACACAAAAGGTAGAATTTTATATGTGTGGGTGTTTTACAGGTGGACTGTTAAAGATATAAACCAATGACAATTATAATTTCTTTTATGTTAAAAGGAAAATGTGATCAGCAATAGTGTAATTGAGCTGTTGTGGAAGCTTTATGGCTACAAACTCATAGCCAGAAGTTTACATGCAGGGCCCCAGATGCTAGTTTTCAACCTAAATTACACATCCTGCGACTGACAGAACCAATGAGACTTCCTGTTTAAATGAGACATATTGCAAAGCTCATAAGTCATTTAATTTTTCGAGTCCCAAAAACATGATTTTCAGCATAAGGAGTTAGAACCAAAACACAGGAAGCTTTTGTTCTGCTTTCTGTTGTGTGAATAATGAGGTGCACTTTTTCATGCTGGTGGAAACATTTTATTACTGAAGGAAGAGGAAAAGAACAAGCTTTAATACTTCTGTTTTCTGTGTTTAAACTGTCCTTGTGAGACAGACTCAAATTATTATTTTTTTATTTTATTTTTTTGTAGGTGAGAACATCAACATCTGCTGGAGCCCCGACGGTCAGACCATCGCCGTGGGGAACAAAGATGATGTAGTGACATTCATCGATGCCAAGACACATCGCTCTAAAGCAGAGGAGCAGTTCAAGTTCGAGGTGAACGAGATCTCCTGGAACAACGACAACGACATGTTCTTCCTCACGAATGGCAATGGCTGTATCAATATTCTGAGGTAGGAACAAACAGAGCAAAACCTTAAAAGTGGGCCTCAGAAGCAGGCCATCCTACAGCGTTTGAGTACAAACAGCTGTTCATGTTCCATTTTTTTCTGTGTACTCATGAAAAGCTGTCTGAGTGTTGTTCAGTTTGTACCTCGGTCCTGGAGTCACGGTTTGCTGTTTTGGTTTTTTTTGTTTTTTTTGTTAGAGCTAAGAAATGAATATTTTTATCATTTATTTTTGTGGAAATATTAGACGTTTAGAATCTGTTGTAATTCTTAATGTTACGTGAAGACAATCAAGTGCTGCATTATTTTATCTGTTTACTCTCAAAAATAAATTAAAGAAAAAGTAATAAGATAATAATACTAATACAGTGCTACTACTAATAATAACACTAATAAACGTGCAACATATTTAGAATAAATTTTAAATAACGTATAATGGAATAGTGCAGTTTCAGCTTTAGATGTGCACAAAGCAATGCTGCATTTCTCTCTTTCTGTCAACTCTGAGGACACAGCCATCTCTTCTAGAAGACCTTCTCTGAATGGTCAGAGGACCTGTGCTGTGAGAGCAGAGAGTAGATTGTAAATGTGAAATAAGGGGCTGTTTTTCATTTTGTGGTGTCTTAAATCGATACAACGGAAAAAAGCTTTAAAATGAAACAGGAATGACGCTTCTCTACAATACACCGGGGTTCTCAAACTATAAAAAAGTAAGAATGAGATCAACAGTAGTGTATCAGAACTTCTATGGAAGTACTATTGGCTGCAAACTCAGAGCCAGAAGTTTATTTGTGGGGCCCCAGATGCTAGTTTTCAACCTACATTACACCTCCTGCGACCCACAGAACCAGTAAGACTCCCTGCTGTGCTGTTCCACTCTGTTCATGTGAGAAATTTACTAATTTATATACTGCAAAACTCCAAAGTAATTTAATTTATGGATTCCCAGAACCACAATTTTGAGCTTGATGAGTTAAAGCCAAAAAACAAGAAACTTTTTATTCTGCTTTCCCAATGGTCCCCAAAGGAAAGCCCCTCCATCCCTCAGTTACATGGAGCTTTTCTTTTCAAGGTTCTTGAAACTGTTGCACTGTTCTCTTACACTGTCTCACTGCTCTCTTAATCTATATGTGGGATATTTTGTAGTTGAGAATAGGGCCCGACTGATATGGATTTTTTGAGGCCGATGCAGATTCCAACATTTGGCAAAAAGAAAATTCCGATAACCGATTAATTTAAAACATCTATAATAATCTATAATAGCTTCTTTTTTGGTCCCTTAATGCTACAACAACAAAGATCTGAATCACAGGCAGAACATTTGACTGCTTTACACTTTGTCCTTTAGTATTTGTTTCACTTTACAACAGAGAGGAGTTTCAAGAACAAAAACATGCAACAATGCATTAAACATAATATGCAGTAGTAAAAAGCAAAAATGTTCTCCAAACAAATATGTCTGTCATGTAGGGAATTTTATTTTAAATCTGCATTGTGCATTTTTCTTCCTATGGAGCATGAATATAGCTACCAGTTGTACTGATGAATCTAGCTTTAGGTTTAGGCCACAGGTGTCTGCTGTATATAAGCAGCATGATGAGTGAAGTTACTGCAGAACGTTATTCATGCAGCCCTCTGATGTTCTGGACTCTCACAGACTGAGCTGTTTTGATGAGTATAAGTTAATAAAAATGTCAGTTGAATAAGTTCGTTAAATAAAAAGTTTTAAAAGTTGTTTTCTGTAGTTCTCTGAAAACCCGTCAGAGTGAGGCTCTGTGCGGTGTTTTGTTTTCAGACTCTGCGGCAGAGTGAGCGATCTCACCGCTGGACGGTCGTAAACTGTCTCAACTCTTCGTCATCTCAGTGTCCGAGTTTGATGGAGCTTTTCATGGTGTTGCTGAGTGTTTTACAGCTTTTGCCTTGGAGAATATTTGTCTTTATACAAAATCAAAATGTACAAAATGAATGTACAAAGCGACTGTGACACTTAACAGCATTTACTGTTTTATGAGAAATTAAGAATATATCAGCGATTAATCGGCAAAACTCCGGCCGATTATGAGTATTTCGAAAAGGGCTATAATCGGCCAGTTTAATTGGCCAGCTGATAAATCGGTCGGGCTCTAGTTAAGAAGGTAGAATTAACTCCACATGCACCTTAGTCTTTGCTGCCCTGTCTGTTTGTATACAAGTCTGCGATGATGCAGAGCTGAAATAAACAGGGTGTTTGTTCGCAGCTATCCAGAGCTGAAGCCCATACAGTCCATCAACGCTCACCCATCCAACTGCATCTGCATCAAGTTCGACCCCACAGGGAAGTACTTCGCCACAGGCAGTGCTGACGCCCTGGTCAGCCTGTGGGACGTGGAGGAGCTGGTGTGTGTCCGCTGCTTCTCCAGGTCAGTCTGCAGGGATGTCTGTTTCATGTTTACATGGAAATACATTCTAATTTTAATGTAAACAAAACCTTAGACATATGTGTCTTCCTAGAAATGTGACAATATGACAACATCCTGTAACGTTATTGAGCTTCTGAGTGTTTTTCGTTATTGAATCTTGGATTCTTATTGTGTTGCTGCTGTCGTCGCAGGCTGGACTGGCCGGTGAGGACCCTGAGCTTCAGTCATGACGGGAAGATGTTGGCCTCTGCCTCTGAGGATCACTTCATAGACATTGCTGAGGTGGAAACAGGTCAGTAAGATGATTTGCTGTGTCACATTAGCAAACATGCGGCTGTAGTTTTTGGATGCTAGAACATTTCTTTTGGTTTGGCTGCATTTTAAATTCTTCTTCTTTAAGTGGATTTCACTTGAATGATGTTGAATGAAAATGCAAATTGGAAAGCTTTTAACAGATCAGACATGTTTTATTTATCAGTTCCAACAAAGTGCTCCAATTCAGGAGTATGCTGGTATTTTTAACACTCACTAAAACCTTTGGGAGACCTCTATTTAAAGAAAAAAAAGTAAATAAAAATTAGTCACATATTCTCCAGGGTTCTCTCTCTGTAGTTTCTTAGAAGAGCCTTAAAAGTTGTGTGTGAAGAAAACTAAATTTTTTCTTGTGTCCGATCTGGTCTCACATGGGATTCAAATCAGATTTCTGGCTGTGTGTGCTGTTGGTGCCCTGCCTTCATCACTCTGTGTCAGCACCTCACAGTCGTCTGCTGTAAAAACAAACTCAGAGAACAACAACAACAACGACAGCGACGGAGGTCAACAGAGAGACGAGGAAGGTTCAGATTTGTCCAACATGTACAGAAAATCTTTTACTCAAAGAAAATGGGAAGGAACTTGTGGATGGGCCAACAAATAGAGCATTAAACTTCCCCAGTTGATTACCTGCATTAAGGAGATCCTTTTTGTATTTGCATATTTTCTGAAATGTTTAAATATGCAAACAAGGTGTTGACATATTAGAGTCAACGATTTTTATAAAGAGCCTTTTGTTTATCACTTCATAAATCACAGCTTACTGTGTGCAGCCGGCAGAAATGCATTTTCACCATGTTGCTGTTGTGAGGAATGAAACGCTCTGTTGATCAGGCTGATGTCTAAACAGATCGCTCTGCAGAAACCTTCAGAACACAGACAGGAGTGGAACTGTCCCACCTGTATTTCACTGAGCAGGACATTGCGTGAGGTGTTTGTGGTTAAACTGTTGTTGTCGCATCAGTTTGGGATTCTCAAAATGACTGTTCCCAAGTTGCGCTGTGTTGAGCGCTCAGCTATTAGATTTATTGCCAACTTATTTGATAGTCGAATAATTGGTGTGAATTCTCTATATCCATATATTTTGTGTTTCTTTACTCCTCTTTGACACTAAACTGTTTATCTTTGAGTTGTGGTTTTGGGAAAACTGATCATGTTTGATCGTTTCTGATATTTTATAGACCAAACAAGTCATCAGTTAAAGGAGTTCAAACCATAAAAGCGGTAGTTGCAGCCCTGAAGTAGCAGTGAGGACCTCAGCTATGTCCTTAGTGGAGGTGGATAGATGGATGTGCACCATCAACACAATTAGATCAGATCTGAGGTGAACATTAAGGCCTGTAATGAGAACCAAGACCTGGAAAATTCAGTGAACGTTTGTTAACAGACAAACTTCTTCCAAACGAGACCTGGATCAGTAGCTGCCTTTTACACTGTGCTAAATGTGTTCGATTTTTAGGTCGCGTAAAGCATTTGACCACATTTTCCCATTTCCTTTACGTGCAATAGGGGAGAAGCTGTGGGAGGTTCAGTGTGATTCTCCAACCTTCACAGTCGCCTGGCACCCGAAGAGGCCCTTGCTGGCCTACGCCTGCGACGACAAGGAAGGCAAGTACGACAACAACCGAGAGGCGGGCACAGTCAAACTCTTCGGCCTCCCCAACGACTCCTGAGGCGGATCGGCTGTGGTTTTATTCAGTGTTAAAAACCAAGAGAGAGCAAAGCAAAGGAAACGTCTCAAGGAAAGAACAGAAACCCTGTACAGCCCAGATGAAGCTCCGGTTGCTGCTTTGCATTTCGGCTGCAGCTCCTAAGCACCAGTAACCTCCGGCCACCAGCAGATGGTGCAGCTGTCCACACTTTCCCTTTAAAACAGCCGACACCATTTCCTGTTTTTGTACACAGGTTAACACATATTTCTCAGTGCTGTAAGATATTGTTTTTATGTAGAATACCGTGTTTTTTAAATAATAAAATTGGTCTGTTTGTACATTTTTTTGTATCTTGATCGTTTAAGTACAGCTTGTGATGGTTTTTTTTGAATGCCAAAGTAATCTCTGAGATGGGTAATCAGATGATTTGGCAGGTTAAAGATGTGATATATATATATATATATATATATATATATATTTTGTGACTTTTATTTATTCAGCGCTGACCTGAGAACAAACTGCAAAACTGTTTGTTTTGTGTGAACTAGATGATAATAAACATGTACACACACCCAACCCACTTATGCACAGGAGATATCATCATCACCACCAACATTATGTTTTTTCCTTCTGTCCCTCCATTCCACCGTGATTTCAAAATCATAAATACTCCAACATGTCATCCCTCACCTGCTTTTGGAGTGTCTGGGTTCTCACCTAAAACAGACATCAGCTGACAGCATTAGTGTCTGCTGGTCTTTTCTCCCGTGACTGCTTCTTCTTCATCTGCCCTGACATACGTACGCAGCGTGAGTCCAGATCCGAAGCTTTTGGCCGGTGCCAGTGGCAGCTGGTCGCTCCCTGTCCCCAGAGCTGCAGACCAGCAGGCTGCAGGATGTTTTCGCCTTGCAGCTGATGTCACCAAACACCCTGCCGTCCCCACGGTAATTTATTTTACTTTTGTTCTGCCCCACATGAGATGTGTCCCGTCCAAGAAAACAAATCTCTACTGTGGAGTGGAGGCCCTCTGCTGACTCACCTGCTTTTTAGTCAGGCGTGAAATTAGCCAGAAATAATTTATTACAAAAAAAAAAACAAACCCAACTGTTTGCTATCAGTTAAAAAAGGTTTTCAGTGCTTTGTCACCTAAAGAGAACAGAGACCACTTAGAAAAAAGTGTCCTCAGTAGAAAAATAACTGCTGCTTGATTTTTCAAATGCCTGAAATGTTTAACCAGCCAGTGTCCCATTTGGCCGTTAGGATGATGGATTCTGTCAAGACCAAGAAAGACAAGTAATGTGACAATCCACAATGGGGGAAGCTACACCAGAGCCAACTTTCAGGCCCTAAAACCTGTGATTGTGTGATGCTGCAAAGCTTTTAATAATACAGAACAACGAAACGACTACTTTACCTTTCTGGAAAGAAAAGAAAGAGTTGCAACCATTAAGCAATTATCTGTCCACTATTAAATTATTAGTCAACTACGCTGCTAATCAGTTAATCTGGGTTCGATTCTCATCCTGGGGTCTTTGTGTGTGGGGTTTGCATGTTCCCATGGTTCGTCGGGAGCTCCAGTTTCCTCCCACAGTCCAAAGACATTCTGAACTGTCTGTAGGTGTGAAAGTGAGTGTCTGTGAGACGTGTCCAGGTGAAGCCTGCTTTCACCCAAAGTCAGCTATAAACAATGGGTGGATGGATGTTTAGGTAATGAAGGTCTGAATTCTTTTCCTTCTGAACCCTTAGACATCAGTTTAACAAAGTTACACATCAAAAACGATGTCCAAAAATGTCACACATTAATATTATTTTTCACTTGCAATTACGTGTTTCTTTTAATTTACATCGGTCCTGATCATAATTACCAAATATTCATAGTTTTTCACTTTTTATCCTTTAAATTCCAGTTTTGTTGATTTAATGCCACAGTTATAAAATAAACAGAAAAAAAAATTCCATATAATAAGTACGAAGTGGAATTTTGCTATGATTATTATTACAATCTGGCATGTGTCAATAATTAACAACATTGTGTGGGATGCATTATTATTTTTTATGCAGAGTAAAGTTTAAAAGAAAAAAGCAAAATATCTGCCTTAAAAACATCTTGTATTAAAATAATGTTCCATTTTAAATGACTGACTTGTTTGAACCAGTCCTGATCACAGCAACCAAAATGTGTACATTTTCAGGATTTTAACCCTTTAAATGCCGGTTTGTTTACATGATGCCATTTGTTGTTTTTATGAACAAAGGACAAAAAAATGAATTATTTTCCATATAAAAGGAGCAAAATAGAAAATTCTTCCTCTTCTTCTTCTTTTTAAAAAAAAAAAAAAATCATAGTGATAAAACAAATGTCATTGAGAGATGCCAGAAATTCCTCTATGCAGGAACAACCTTGGCATTCCTTCTACATATTAAACAATGCATATGCCTGGTGAAGTTCTGTTTACTTTTATATGTGATTGCATTCTGTTAATTCAAATAATGCCTTTGTATGTCTTTGGCCCGCTGTTACTAATTAGACACACTGGCTTTGCTCATGCTTCACTGTCAGTAAATATAGAAATAATATTATAATAATAGGAATAGTAATAGGACCAGGAGCTCCTGAGAGAGAGTTTTAATTTCTTTTTGTTTTGCCTTTTTCAATATAAAAAAGTCTTGAAAACCAGTGGATGACTTTAATCACCACAGTCAGAAAACAAAAAACTATTCGGAACATCAGAAGTGCATTTATTCAAGGATCATCCTTCCAAAGCCAACATGCAAATGAATCCAATCGAGCACCTGGGATTGAATTTTGCATCGTGGGCCGGTGCAGTTGAATGGCCCTTGAGCGTGTCATCGCATCAGTCTCCCTGCTGATCCCAGCTGTTATTTACTGTCACAGAGGCATTGCGAAGAGGTCGGTCAGTATCCACGGACGTGATTGCCAGTGAGCATCGCGGGATGATAAATCAAAATACAGCAGCATGCGGGCTCTCCTTCACCTGCGTGTCTCGTCCTGTGAGGAGAAAGGTCTTTCTCATTTGACTTTAAATGGTCTCATCTACAGAGAGCAGCTTCACCCTTCTATTTGTCGTGAGCCTATAAATCAGTGTTACTTTGGCATTTTAACGTGGCTCTAAAGCTCACAGAGTGGAGGCAGAGCAGCGTTAAAATCTGCCGGTGCTGCACGTAAAGTCTGAGGAGTAAATTGAATCCTCTGTAGATTTTGGAAAATTGTCAAGTAGAGAGTTGTCAGGACAAATCACTGCTGATGAATGTTTATTGCTCCTCTCACTGTAACAAGACAACAGTGAGACCGCCTACAGTAATTATATCAACGATGTTAATGCCGCTTTCTAGGTAATTTAATTAAATTCAAACTGGTCTGGGTATCTCTGCCATTACTGCTTCGGTCAGCAATGGTTTCGTTTGTACATATCAAGCAAAAAATATGACTTCCTTGTACAAAAATCTGTTGTTTTACAGTGAGATCAGGCTAAAATGAATATTCTCTAACAATCCTCACAGAATGTACGTAAACATGACATCACCTGTAGAGATCACGCATATCATGGCAGTCCTAAGCTTCTAATGACTGCTACAGCTCTTCATTTCTGTGACACAATGATCATAGCACATGCATCTTAGTTCTTGCATTTTGGTTCTTTCATAGATTTATTATTGGTCTTCTGGATATATGACAAAGTACAAATTTGTGTTAATCAAATCTTCTCAATGAGCTCTTGCCGTCTTGTGGAGGATACACTTGACTACAAGTGCTGAGTCCTCTGCGGCAGTTTAAATACAGACAGTTTGATGCCCTCCTCAGACGCCTTATCAATACTTCAAATAAAAGTGATAGTGTAATTACCACTGGTCAAGATGAGGCTGATGTCTGTAATTTTAACTCAGCAATAAAACGTTTGTTATGCCTTGAGTTTGGCATTTTATCCGTCACTGTTTGTGGACGTGACAAGCAAAAGGAGGATCTGACTGGAAAATTTACTTTAAAGTGCAATTAGAAGATTTCAGGTTTACAGACATCTCTTACAGTATTGGTTTACAGACAAAATGCTCTTTGCGTAGCATCTCTGCAAAGCAAACATCATTGAACCGAAAGGGAATTTATTTTCAGAACCATTTTCCTCAAAACAACTCTGTTTTACCTCTGATCCACAGTTAAAGGCCGGCTGTATTGTGATGAAGAGCTCAGTATTTTGTCCCAGGTCACAGCTGTGCTGGCTCGGCCACAAGTCTACACTTTGGCAGCCAAATCGATAAATATGCAGCTATTTAATCCAGCTGATGCTGTCACCGACTGTCTGATTGAGACGGACTCGAGGTGTGGTTTTGACAGCAGCCACGGCTGAGCTGTGGTTTCGAAAAATGAAAATGTAGTTTCTGTGCACGCACAAGGACGTCTCCAGCCTTTTACCGGCTCTTAATTCCAAATTTCTTCTTAACGTGCTTAACATTGTAAATGTATGAAAGGTGACACAGTGTCAGAAATTAGGTCTGAGCCCCAATCAGGCTTAACTCTAATCAATATTCTCATTCATCGAACAGCAACTTTTCCCAAAGCGATCCTCCTCTGTTTCATCAGAGGGAGGACGCAGATGTGCTCCAGCATGCCGATCAATCCATTCAGATACTAATGCTTTCAGACAAGGGCTGTGTGTTTGTGTGTGTGTGTCTGCACAATTGCATGTTTATCAGTGATGTGGTATTTGTGTATTTATTTGTGTGTGTGTGTTGAGGAAGGGCAGCTGCTTGGAGAGAGATAATCAGTCCCACCCGTCCATTTGCTCCAGTCAAAACGAATTAGTAACCGGACACGTTAAAGGGCACTTCCGCCGTTTTGAATAATTGCTGGGCTGCCTCCTGATTGATTTCTGGAGTTTTCCCGAGATGAGAATCTTTGATGCCCAGTGATTCGTTCCCTCTCACTTACCTGATCTTTGAATAAATGTGCTTTGTTTCAGCTTGACAAATATTGAAAACAAATCTTTCGCTTCTTTCGATCCTGACTATTGGTCAGGACAACATCTGTTGCATACAAATGCACTTAACTAAACAGATTACAGGCAGCCTTCTCCAGTAAGCTGATGTGTGTCATATAAACAAGGAACCTGGTAACAATAATCAGGCCGGAGGATTAGAGAATCCTGATTTCCCAGGTGGATTTCTCTGCAATGTGTACAAGTAACCACATTTATAATTGGCTTTTTCAAAGTGGTTTTTAAGTGCGCACGACAAAAGACTGTAGACAGGGAAAGTAACAGCGATGGACAAAGTACTCAGATCCTTCACTTAATTATTTAATTATAGGCCATGCTATTAAAATAA